CCTTTTTGCTTATTCCTAGTGCTTTGGAGTAATTCTCATAGGGGGCGTCTATTAGACAGGGGGCGTCTAATACAATTTTAATAGGGTAGAGGGGCCGTTTACCAGAAAAGAGGCGTTTATTTGGAAGTGGGCGTTTCTTAGGTCTTTACGGTAAACCACTTAGTTCACTAATGGGCTCAGAGGCTCCTTGTTGTTGTGCTGGACTATCTGGTATTTTTCTACTAACTATTCACTTCATATTTTAATTTTTCACCCCCAAATCCAATACTATCCATTTTTTAAAAGTTTTTAATACGTCTTCCCCGCCCCCCCCACTCCCCCCCCACACACACACACCGGTAATTCTTATACACCGAAGACATTCAACAAATCATCCAAAAATTGTAAAGAAATTATTGAACCAAGTCAATCCAACCTAATCGGTGCGGGAAGAAGTCGATGTCAGTCTCATGCCTAGGCCCTCAACAGAGAATGCCGTAATGTTTAACAGAAGAAGGTTTGAAACAAATGCTGGATAATGGTAATATTGCATAAGCTGGTATCAATTAAAAATCACGTGGTGCGCTGGATCGATCTCGGTCCCAGGCTCTTTCTTCCTTGGCAAATTGGTGATGATGTACCGTATTTATTCGATTAACCGCCCTGGGCCCGGTTGCATAAAACCTGCACTTAAGTGCTCACTTAAGTAGGTCACTTACGAATCCGTTATGGGTACACTTACGGGTGTTGCATGGAACACACTTAGCACTCTCGTAAGTTTCTGTTTTACGTGGTAACTTACGGGCTCACTTAAGAGCACACGTAACTTTGTTATAGTACTTTTAATTATTAATTTGACTCACTCTATTTTTTTTAAATTAAGTTAACCATCGGTGAGTGTAAAGAAAGTTAAAAGTCGTTTCGAACACTTTTAAGTCTCTCAAAAAATTAAATTTGCATGCAAACGTTATTTTTCTTCAATATCTACTGAAAATGATAGTTCGTCTTCTTTTTTCACAAAAGTGTACATCAGAGGTTAACAAAGCGCATTAGAACGAATTACGTGAAGAAAAATACTTTTTTTCACTTTTCAGTAAAAGATCTCGTTAAATTTAGTAAAAACAGTAACGATACGGGACCCACATAGGTCCCGTAAATGTACGTGCTATTTTCCCCGTAAAAAAAGTTTTATGCAACGCCCGCAATTTCTGTTGCATAAACGACACTTAAGTGAACATTTACGAAAATCGTAAGTGCAACCACTTAAGTGAATTCCCTATGTGGACCACTTAAGTGATTTCATGCAACTGACTTAAGTTACGAGTGCACGTACGTGTACCCGTAGTTGTTACGGACGTTTTATGCAACCGGGCCCTGGGCGCTTATTAAATTTTTGGACCTTGAGAGTCGGCGCTTATTCGAGGTGGGCGCTTATTCGAGGCTGGGCGCTTATTAAATTTTCACCATTTTCAGCAAGTGAAGTATGTTTATTTTGCAACAAAAAAAAATGCTAACAGCAAAACGCGAAGAAGTAACAAAGCAAGGTTTCTGTAAAATACTCTGAAGAAAACTCCGTCCTCGGGGAGGTCTCTTATTAGAATTTATTCACTCAAGTGGGTGGGGTGGGGGTGAGCGCTTATTTGAGTTTGATTGGGAGGAGGAGGGGGTGGGCCCTTATTCGAGGCTGAGCGCTTATTAACTTTTTCTCCCTTTAGGATGGGCGCTTATTCGAGGTGGGCGCTAATTCGAGGTTGGGCGCTTATTCGAATAAATACGGTACTTCACCCTGCACTGAAATTATTCGGGGAAGCGAGGGTCCGTTCCATTCAATCACAATTCAGACTTTATAAGGGGTACGTTCTTCGAACGCAGTTAAATTTGCTAAACTAGACTATGTCAACGTTAGAAGCAACAAACAGTTTGATAGGTACATAAATGTGCTTACTTTGGAAGGTAAGAAAAGAAACCTCTGTATATGCTTCGAGAATTTGACTTGGAGCATCTAAAATGAACAGGTTGAAAAATCAACCTGATTTAATTAACGCTTTGCTGAATACATCCAGAAACGTATTTGAAACTAATACAAAAAAGAAATTACATCGGTTGGAGTAAAAACAAAAAACCTTAACATTTATTCAATTGATGACGCGGGGATGTACAATGTAATGGTATTCTCTCTTAGATTAAGTCAGTTTTCGTACATTAAAGAAAACTCCTGAAAAAGTAAAAGGTCTCTCCGGAACACTTTCATCTTCGTGCCTTTAGATAATTGGCATAATTCCGTCTTCATTCTGATTCCTACAAGAGGGTTTCAATGGGGTTAACAGTCAGCCGTCAAACGGCCTAAAATTTAACTGTCAGCCGTCAAAAAAGGTTATTTTTTACCGTCAACCGTCAATGGTCAAAACGATTCAAGGCATTTCAAATCTCTCTATTTCAGATGATATTGACGGACTTTTGGCTCCTGAAGAATCTCTTCACTTGAAAAACCAAGGGCCATGTTGTCAAAAACACTCTCTCTGAACATTATAAGATTTTTAGAACTTACCGTGAACTTTGCCATGTCTTAAAATATTCAATGGAAATATTCATGAAAGGCCAAGGCAACCTCCAAAACAGAACAGTTAAATATTCATTTATGCAGAAGTTAATATGTACTTTGACTCTTGAACTAAATTTTCACTAAATAATCGGCAACCGTCGAAACCCTAAAACTTAGCAGTTAACATTCAAAGCTACCACCCTCATTGGGACTCTCCTATAAGGAGTGCGTTCTCCTACATCGAACGCAATTAATTTTCGGTAACCATGAAACAGTAGGAGCAAACAATCTGTAATGCGTGTAAAAGGTACCGACTTTATTTAGATCAAAGTTAAAAAGCCTTCTGTATATCCTTGAGAGAATTTCGCGTGAAACGAAAATGCGGACCTAAACAGATGATACCGGCTGACCCGATCTACAAGCGGAACGCTTTCCTGAACACTAAGCAAAGAAGTATTAACTAATTCAAATGATATATTACATTGGTTGGAATAGAACAATAAAACCTCAATAATTGCAATTAGAGAGATAAGAAGACGATAAGGTTGTTATGGTATTGTTTAAGTCGCAAATCATTTTAACAGATTCTCTTTTTTACTGTCGATTTCCACACCAATTCTGATTCCAATGAAACTCCTGAAGGAAGCGTTTGATTAACCATTGATTTAACAAGTAAAAGGTCTCTCCAACACTTTGATCGCCTCCCCCTTGAGAAGATTGGCCTATTTTAGCTGCCATATCTCTCAAATATCCTTCTGCCATACCCTGTCATGATTCTATCTTGAATTGAAAACAAAGTGAATTTGCCGTCAATGGTTTCACAAGCACGCTTGAACTGATGCAGGAGATGAATTTGAAAGATAGCTGGATCATCACTATGACAGTGAGGCTTCCCGTTTCTCCGTCTCTACCGTCTTTGCATGAACTCCATTGCTGAAAGGTTTCGGACAGGCTTCGACGGAACATTTCTTTGCAAAGAAGTTTGTGTTATGGTCTTCTCCCAGGATTAAGTCGACATTTGAACGGAGGGGCTCGTACGGGCACCAGTCAAACACAAGGATATTGTTTTGGGACAAAATACCGATCACCGAGGAGGACAGGATAACGTTAGCGAAGTACTCTTTGGTGCACGAATGTACTTGAAATTCGTCTTCTGTTCTAGGGCTCGTGCGGAAATTCAGTCTGTCAAATTTTCTCGCGGGCCTCTCTTCCACAAAAAATGGCATCTCATCCCTCTCAAGAAGTTCTTGACAAGTATTTCTACTTTTACTTTTAAGTGCTTGAAGAGACAGCATTCTTATTCTTGAGACTTTTATCGGGAAGATTTGCTTGTACATGTTTGCCCAACTCTTCAGGTATTTTTAGCTATTTTTCGTTGGAGACCCTGGCCTTCATGATTGTGCGCAACTCGCGCCGCGCGCCAGGCAGGCGTTTCTTCACCGTGGACGATGCAGTCCGCTTGTAGACCAATGAGTTTGTTACCTGCATGCAACAACATCATGGCTACATTTTCCCTTTGAAGCTATTTGAGGTATACAACTGGAAGAAAGTCGTAGCCGTTGTGTAATGCCTCCGATAACTTCATGACGTCGTCGAGGTCACTTTTGTTAGCTAGGCGACATTCGAGATCGAGTCCTTCATGAATTTTGCCTGTTGAGATGCTGCGACCTGAATAGGGCTGAACCCTCCAGTGTTTTGAGGCGAAAACTCGACGTCTTTGACGAAGAATGTTCACTTGAAGAGCCGCCATTTCCAAATCAAATTGTGATCAATTAAACAGCTCGTTCTCAGTAAGGTCTCAAGGGTTATGTCGATAGTGGGTTGACCCTGATACTATATAAGAAAAATCAGACATAATGCGGGCATAACATTCATTTTTTTTAGAATAATCAGATTTTGTATTGCATTGCTCAGAAGTGTATACTAATTTTTCCGGCCAACCCCAGCTACAATATATAAAAGTGATAAAAAGTATAGATATTTTAGGAATTTAATACCTCAGACGACCCTGATCGGCCCGTAGGCTACACGGGAGAGACATAGTTCACATTTTAAGTAAGGTAAGCTGCTTTTTATTGAATTCCTTTCATTTTTGTAGGTTACAGAAACGATAGGTTTTTTTCCCCAAACAAATCCTTATGTTTCGATGCCAATGTTCGCCGCTGCTCATATTTCGAGCTTGGGCGACCTGTGCTGCCACGCATGCACGTTTAGCTTGGCTTCGTAGTTTTTTTTTGAAATGGCGAGTGTAGTGAACTTTCTTCAACAAAGATCTAGAGTTTTCCTTTCAAAATGTCGGAGGGTTCAGCTCCTTTCAGGTCACAAGGTCTAAACAGGCAGAATTCATTCAGACTTCCAATGTCGCCTCGCTGAATCAACTGACTTCGACGATATCGTGAAGTTATCGGAAGGATTATACAACGGCTACGACTTCCTTCCAGTTGTATACCACAAATGGCTCAAAAAGGAAAATGTAGCCATGATGCTGTTGTATGCAGGCAAACGTCTCATTGGTCTACAAGCGGGCTGCATCGTCGACGAAGGAAAAATGCTTGTCTGGCGTTCAGCGCGAGTTGCACACAATCTTGAAGGCCAGGGTCTCCAACGAAAATTAGCTGTAGAATTGGGCAAACATGTACAAGCAAACTTTCCCGAAGTCTCTAGAATACGAACGGCGTCTCATCTAGAATCTCAAAGGAAAAGTAGGAATTCGTTTCAGAAAATTCTTGAGAGAGATGAGCTGTCATTTTTTGTGGAAGAGAAGTCCGCGAGAAAATTTGACAGACTGAATTTCCGCACGAGCCTTAGAACGGAAGATGAATTTCAAGTACAGTCATACACCAAAGAGTACTTCGCTAGCTTTATCCTGTCGTCCTCGGTGATCACTGAGCTGTGTCCTAACAATATCCTTGTGTTTGACTGGTGCCCGTACGAGCCCCTCCTTTCAAATGTCGACTTAATCCTGAAAGAAAACCATAACACCCACTTCTTTGCAGACAAAAATTCCGTCGAAGCCTCTCCGAAATCTTTCAGCTAAGGAGTTCATGCAAAGACAGTAGAGGCAGAGAAACGGGAGGCTTCAGTTTATAGTGATGATCCAGCTATCTTTCAAGCTCATCTCCTGCATCAGTTCAAGCGTGCTTGTGAAATCATCGACAGCAAATTCACCTTCTTTTCAGTTCAAGATAGGGCCATGACAGGGTATGCCAGAGAGATATTAGGAGAAATGTTGCAGCTAAAAGAGGCCAATCTTCTCAAGGGTACGACGATGAAAGTGTTCGAGAGACCTTTTACTCGTTAATAATCAAAGCTTAATCAAACGCTTCCAGTTTTTTAGGAGCTTTCTAGCCTGCGAGCAAGTTCTCCGTTTGGGGGATATCATGAAAAGTACACGCGCGAAAGGCACGCGAGAGGAGACGCGGGCCCTCTCGCTCGCGCGTTCTTGCGCGTCTCGCTTCGCTTACCCAAGTAGGAGAGCTTGCTGGCAGGTTAGGAGTTTTCTTTATCTGATTTAGGCTATATTCACACTATACCGGTAAGCTTTTCGTGCCAGACTACTAGCAATATTCCGTATACGAGATATCCGAAGAAATGTTTTACCCAAATTTATAGAGATTTGTATGGAGACGCCATGCTGGTGCCTACCTGGATGGGCACCAACATGGCGGACGGAAACCAACAAAAACATCTGTTACCGAGTTTTGATACAAAAGCGTGAATTTATTCCTCAAGGAACTCATAAACATTAAAGTAATACTTTTTCTAATCCATGAACTGCTTAGATAGCAAAATTTCCCCAAATACATCACTTTTTTAACCTACGTGACAGCTCTCTCGGCTGTCATGTAAATACCTCGTCACGCAAAAGCTTAAAAGTTCAAGCGTACTCTATCACAAAACCAAGAACCCTTTTGAAGCGAAAATTTGCATGAAAATTAGTTTTCAGCTGTTCTAAATACATCATGACAGTAAGATCTCAGTAGGATCAATAGTTATGTAGTTTGAATTTTAGTGAGGTCATGTGAAAACTATGACTAACAATCTGGTATGGTTTTCATGCGGGCGCAAAAGCTATCCGGCATAGTGCGAACTTAATACGTTACAGTCAACTGCCTCTAAGACGGACACCTTTGGGACCGGCGGTAAGTGTCCGTCTTAGAGGAATGTCCGTCTTATACGGTCATGCACCTGGTTACTTGATCGATTTGATTACTATTAAAGAACAGCCGCGCTATAATCTCCGTTCAGCTAGCGGTCTTATCTTAAAGTATCCTAGTTTAAACTGAAAAAGACTGTAGGGGATCGTGCTTTTTCGTCTGCTGCCCCTAATTTATGGAACAATCTGCCCCTTCACATCCGTCTTGAGGACAATTTTGAACGTTTTAAATCTTTACTAAAAACGCATCTTTTTAGACTAGCTTTTGATATGTAATTTTTTTACCTACTATGTAATACATTTAGTGTTTTTTATCTTTATTTAATTTTTAGCGGTGTTTATTAGCCTTAATTATTTAGCTCATTTTAGTTTTTATTTTCTTTTAACATTTACGTGTTGTCACGCGCTTTTGATCATATTATTAATTATTATAGAGAGTCAAATAAAGGGAGTAAAGAAAGGCAGGGACGAACTCCAGGTGTCCGTTTTAGGGAGGTGTCCGTCTTATAGAGGTGTCCGTTAAGAGAGAGTTGACTGTATATGTATCCATGTATTCTGCAAAGCCTTCATTAAATCAGGTTATCGTTTCTCAACCTGTTCATTACAGAGGTTCCAAGTGAAATTCTCTCCAGTTCATCTATATATTTATCAGTCCTATCATACCATTTGTTGGTAATGTTTCCTTCTAATGAAGAAATAGTTGCGGAAATTTAACTTCGTTGGAAGAAGAAGAACATACTTTTATGGATTGAATTGAGATTGGATGGAACGGACCCTGGTTTCCCCGTAGATTTTCAGTGCAGGGGAGAATTATTGCACCATCACCATCTTGCCAAGGAAGAGAGAGCCTGGGACCGAGATCGGTTTAGCGCACTCCTTAATTTTTGTTTCGAAACGCTTGCTATGAAAAGTAATTAGACTGTTCACAGTCCCCTATTTTCCCGTAAGATCATCCAGATCGAGCGCTATCCGTTACGGGTTGCCATCTTGGATGAGTGTCAAAACTACTTAGGGGGCTGGGGGTGGTTTTGGGTTTTTCACCCCTCTCCCCCTTGAGCTACATGTATAATCCCCGACGCCCGCCCCCTCGGTCTCACGGAAAAAAAGGGGACTGTGAACAGTCTAAATTGTAATCTATATCCTTATAAGTTTTTGTTTTTTATGTTGTACGTCATTTCAGCCTTCCCCTATTAAACAATTTTTATTGCAAAATTCTCCAACTATATAATATTGTAATTCTTATCATAAATTCAGTAACATCTGTAAAACTGAAGACGGCTGGTATGGCGAACCGAAATATTGTTTTAAAGAAGCAATCCTCGTAGTAATATCAGCTTTGCAGTAGTTTTTGGACTTCTCGTTTTTTGCGACGCAGGGTATTTTTTAGCCTGATTTTTAGACGTACGAGGTCGCGCCCTGGAGACTGAGATAAGGGAAGGGGCCGCGAACGACCCCAGACGTCTAAGAATCAGGTTAGATATTTTTATTTTTATTTTTGTTACTACAAGTTTGAGCAATATTAACACTGTTATCCTGAGTATTTTTTGTACCTTTCTTCCGTTAAACATTACGGCATTCTAGGCTTATAAATATGCATTCTCTATTGAGAGCCTAGGGTCTAGGGATGAGGTGCTACAACACGACATCGACTGCTTCTGGCTAAATGAAATTTGTTTGTAGTCCAAGTAAACAGAAGCAATGACTATAACGTAAATTTAATGAGTGGAAATAACAAGATGAGGTATATTTTACGGGTGATGGCACTGCTGGAGGCCTGTGACATCACCAGCAATGGTCGCCATCTTGGATTTTACCAAGAATTGGAAATCAAGTCGAAACGGCGAGAAACAGAGAAATGGTGATTTTTTTGTTCTTTACATGAAAAATAACACATTAATAAGCACTTTGTATGATTTTAGCTACAAAATTTGCCTTTATTGTTGACAGAAGTTGAAAAAACATCTATTTTCACCCAAAAATGGCTTGACCACCTGCTACTTATGACTTCATATCTTGTAACCATAGCAACTGACCATCACTAAACTTGTCTCAAAATGTGCGCGACGAACAGCCCTCCCTTGTGCGTCCGAGGGTTTATTAGCCTGCGAAAACATTCATTTCTCCTCGCTCTTCGCCGCTGAGGACGTTTCGCACGGAGGAACCGACATTCCTCCCCGCGAAACGTCCCCATCGGCGAAGAGCGTGGAGAAGCGGATGTTTTCGCAGGCTATTAATTTATTAACAACTCGGGAAAGAGTAAGAGAAAAGAGGNAAAAAAAAAAAAAAAAAAAAAAAAAAAAAAAAACGACTCTTTTGCAGTCTACTATGGATCCGGAAAGAGGAAAACAGTCAGTTTTATTTGTTTCGTTGTACACAGGCTACCCACCCAAAGAGTTTCGGTGTACGGTGGGGCACTGGAAACTAACAAAGATGGCGGCGTGTAAGCTTCACTTTTGCTTCTCGAAGGTTTGTGATGATTATTCAAAGGGATTCGAGAAGTAATCAAAAGGAATGCCGAAAGTAGTGTTCTGGTTTGTTTAAAAGTACTCGATGTGTATTTTCCAGCAGTCTTCATGGTGGAAAAGTGTCTAGGAATGACCACGTTGGACCACGTGATAACTGTGCGCACCATCATTTTAAAAGGTAAGCTTAAATCTAAGCTTAAATTTATATTTCTTAACCTAAAAAATCGTTAAAAGATACTTATATACATTTTGACTGGTAAACTTTTCGCACAAGTCCCAACAGTTATGATTTTATTCATTCTCCGACTCACGCTTCATGTATGTTGTGGTTAATCCTCGGCGTGAAAACCTGTGAAGTTGTTTTTCGTTTTTTCTAGCTGTTATTTTCCTTGGCTCTATTGTGTTGACTTCTAAGTGGCTTCTGATATTAATTTTTTTACGTCACTCGTGAGTTTCACAGGTTTTTACACCGAGTATGAGCCTAATTTTTCTCTCCGGTTCAACTTTTAATAATATTATGTTCGTTGGTTTTGGGTAAGTTAATATAACAAGTCATAACGATTTCGCAAAAAAATAAAATAAAATACACCCTGTGAGCAGCGGTTTCTCCAGGGTGGACGCTTTGCTATGAAAGGAGAGAAAAAACTGCGAGCAACCGTCTGCTTTTTTGATTAAGCCGCCGTCCAACACTTATAGCTTATGCTTACAACTGCTGCCTTAATGCCAGCCTGCTGTGAATTCGTGCTTTTTCAATTCAGCATTTATTGGGATTATTCATTCCTGCCAACTTACTTTGTCAAATGTAGGCAGACCTAACTGGAGTTGAATTCCTAGGACCATATCCAAGTTCAGGAAGAGAAACGAAATTTCGTTGTTGCTTGTTTACGTTATCTATAAAACACGAAATTATGCATTTTCACATCATAGTTGTGCAAAAACAGTAATGGAATGCATAAAACATTGTGTTGCATGTGCAAGTTGTTGTTTTGCTTATTAAAGCTATTGTTTTGTTGACGGTCTCGTTACCATCTGGTCGTTGGATTTTTAAGTTCCTAATGTTTCGTGCGAAACAAGAGGAAGTGTCTTGACATTTTGAGGTAACATCACTTGGACATGCATGCTCTGTGGAAAAGTTGACGGTTGCTTGCAGTGGTTTCTCTCTCTTCATAGCGTAGCATCCGGCGTGGAGAAACCACTGCTCTCAGGGTAAATAAAATATTAACCTTGGATAAAACTGAACTACAACTAATAGTCATGTTTCATTTTTTTGTTTATAAGAAATACATCCCCCAGGGGCAGGTGGATGAGGAAGGGAGGGGGTAGGGAAGGTAGTAGATAGTTTATGGCAGGATACTCAATGGAAGAGGTGGGTAGAAGTGTGCTGCTGAGCCTTCAAACATTGATTCTGGTTACGAC